TAATAATAATAATAATAATAATAATAATAATAATAATAATATTCCATCTTTTCCTTAATGGATGTTGTTTGGTAAGAACGAACATGCAAGGAACTCTGTGGAATGGCTACCACCTGAAGGTGCTGTCAGCTGGGCCTTTCCCCTCCACCCTGCGAAAACCTGTAAGCGGAGCAGTGTCAATGCCTGCCCGAAGCCTCCTCTGGAACCCCTCTGATTCTCCCCTGCCTGCGAGGCCAGGGTCACCAGCAGACCTATCTGGGGGCTTGCCCACGGCCCATGGGCCTGCCTCAGAAGGGGGCCACTGGCAAGCGACTCCTGAAGCTGCTCCTGGCCTTCGTCTGCTTGTTCACCTGATTCTTTTTCTGGCTCAGACATCAGTGGCAGTGAGAAGCAGGGGCAGAGCCACCTCTGCCTACCTCTGCACTGGCTCCCTGCCTGACTGGCAGGCAGGCAAGCAAGGAAGCAAGTGGCAGCCATCATAAGAAAGAGAACGGGGCTCCTGGAACTTGGTGACAATGGCAGGGAGGAGGCGGACTTGTTGGGGCCCATTGAGGGGGTCTTGCCCAAGGGCCTTCCAAAAGGTGCAGCTGGCAAAACCCGCTTCGGCTGTTTGAGCACCTTCTGCCTCAAGCTGCTTTTCCCTCTTGCACCAGACAGAGCTGCCTTCTGGGCTGTTGCATCAGCACAGCCAGGTCTTCCTGTGTACTCTATCCAGGCAGCTGGAGGAGCGGGGAGAAGGGTTTGGACAGCTGCTGCCCCAGAGATAGCATGGGAAAGTAGTGCCACCTCTTCTCCTTCTAGGAGAAGTAAGAGTGCAGTGGCTGAGAGCACAGGGAATCCATTAGAAGTTTTTCCTGCTACTCCAGAAAGTAAATAGCTAAAGTAAATAAGAGCCTTGCCAAGTACAGTCCCCTTCCCCTTTTCTTGGCAGCTTTGTCAACAGAGCTTAGTTAAGGCAAAAAACAAAACCCAGCTATTTCCTGCTTCCATTACTTGTCACTTGTGAACAAACAACATCCTTCTAGATGGACTTCTTCCTTGTACAGTTTGTTTGTCTGTCCAAAAAGGACACACCCTAAAAACTTGCTCAGAAACTCACACAATCTTCTCATCTGAAACACTGCCCTCTCCTCCAGTAACGTACATCTGCAGTAGTTTTATTGCCGGCTTCAAAGCCTGAATTTGGGAGGGTCTAGGTAGAAATCTAAACTCTTGGTTTGGTGGGTGGTGAGATGGGAATCCTTCCATTCATATATGAGGTTTTTCAAAGCTGAACAACAATAAGCAGCTCCTGAGTTTCTTATTGCTAATCTATAAGTGCCATTCTGCCTAGAGAGCCCTTGATCTGCTGAACACGAGCAATGCATTTTTCCTCCATTTTCTAGAGAAATATTGGATTGGATACAGACTTGGTCATCCTTAGAGTGGACAACTCAAATCAGTGAGAATCATTGCTTATGCCTGTCTTGTCCCGTTGACTTTAACTGGTCATCTCCAAGGGTGGTTGAACCTGCTTCCCACACTCTGTCTCCCAAAGTGGCACACAATCTGCCCCCAATTCCATGTACAAACTGGCGGTGGCATCTTAGTTCAGTATTAGCAACACGGTACTTTCCACTACACCTGGGGGCATCAGGTTAGCAGCAGGCCATACGGCACATACAGCTCTGCTCTCAACACGTTGCAACTGCTTCTCTTCCCCACCACTGGCTGCCTGGCATGGGTATCTCACTCTGTCTAATGGTAGGCCTGGCTTTGTTTCCTGAGCTTCCTTTTTCTCAGCTACTTTCTATGCTGTACCCTTTCTTCAGCCATGCTATCTCTAGACTCTCCATCTTTACTTTTTCTGCCTCCTAAGGCCTTTCCCCAGTCCTCCAACTGCCCATAAAAAAATTTAAAACCACATTTTTTATACAGTAGTTTTAAATGTGTGTAGTATAATCAGTGTTGTCTGCTATTGTTTTAATTGCCCAGAGAGCATCAGCTTTTGGGCAGTATAGAAACGTAATCAATAAATACCAATGTTCCTAAGACCTGTGAAATATTTTATTCGCAGATAAACTGTTAACTTTCCCTTCCCGCATGGAAACTGGGCTGCAGACATTCCGTGGTGTGTGTAGTTGGAAAGTTCGTGACAACATTATGTGCCAATGTGCCAGCGCAGTCAATTGCTATCAAAGGCTTTGCTGCTGCAAAGATATTTGAAAATAGCTGATTTATGTATGTATTTATTTGTTACAAGGCTGGTGTTTCAGGTTTGGCCTCTGAGAGCAGCAGGTTTGATTTAGTTTCCCATGAAACATGATCCAGCTGGGTTTGTTTCAGCACACAGGAGAAGAAGCATGCGGATGTGTTAATGTGAGAGAGCAAGAGCCTGGACCTGAATACTCACTCATTCAGATTCTCATTACCAGCAAGTTAATCATCAACCCGATGGCATCTCACAAATGTCCTCCACTGGTCTGCACACAACAAACAGCCATTAGTTCCAAATCCTCAGTTTTATGATGTAGTAACCAGCTTCAAGAATCCATCTGTTGAAACAAATAGCTTAATTCGTTTTGCAAATACTTCAGGTTATCATTGAAGCTGCGAGCCACTTTCAGGTCCAAGTGCCAGCCGGTTTCAACAGGAGTTGGAAAGGTGGAATTGATAGGATAATAAGTAAGGACAAAATCATGACAGTCGATTAAACCAAGCTTCATATCTTGCATTTTGTTTTTTGTATGATAACTCGCACTCAAACTTTGCCAAGGCTCAAATGTTCCTTACCTCTATATTCAGACTGCAATCCTATCCCCATACTACTTGGGAGAAAGTCCCACTGAATTCAGCAGGACTTTCCTCCAAGTAGACACGACTAGGATTGTGTCATCAGACACTCTCCTCCCAGTAGGTGAACAACAGGGGGTGGCTGTTACCATTGCGCACTTGTGAAGCCCTGGAGCAGAGCTGCCATCAGAGCAGGACTTTGGGCAAACAGCCAGTGAGTTCAGGAGGGCCCTCAAATGCAGCAAGGCTTGTGAAGGAAAGGTAGCAACACACGTTCTGAAGAGGGCTTCTCTCAAAGGCCGTTCGAAGTAATACGTGTGATCTGAAGAACGCCTTCCACTCCCCGTAAGGCCATTGAGTACCAAGGCTAAAGCTGCCCAAGTGCAGCAGGGACCAGGCGCCAACACCAGGCAGCAGTGGGGCGAGAACGTATTTGCCTAGATAGACTTCTGGTCAGCAGAACAGGAAGGGAGCCTGTCAAACAGCTCCATTGAGTCACACTGCTGTCAAATATCATGGAAGAATCACCAGTGATATAGTGGTAAATTCGGAAGTGTGGGCACTCATCATGAGGCTCTTTAAGCCATGCCCCCCAAGGAGTGTTTAAAAATGCAGGCATCAACAAAGCAGTTTGGGCAGGAAGGTGCGGGGAGGGTTTTTTTCTCCACTAGGAGCAGGTCTTCTCTAAAGTCGATGGGTCCTGATTGTCCGTTTGCAACAAAATACTTTGCATTGCAACAGGGACCCTCTGCTGGGCAAATTAATCCTCCCCTCCAAGAGGGAACAGGGAATTGCTGATCGCATCAGCACCAGCCATGGCTCTACTATGCTTTGAAGTTGAAGCCACTGTGAAATTAAAGAATAAACACAAATGCCCTGCTTAAGTGTTATGTAACCTGCAACATGGATGCAGGGAGATTGTGGGGCAGCCCGGGGGGGGGTGTGTGTGTTACAGTTAGCTCTGCCCTCCAGGTCTTCTAATTCCTCTTGGCTTCTTACACATTCAGGGGTAAATTGTCCTCTTCTAGGCATGGGGGCTAGAAACCTCAATTGTCCACAGTTCCTCAGGGTTTGCAACAGTGGGGGTTATTTTGCCATAGAGTTGCGCTGTATGGACATGGCTGATAGACAACTGTCCCTTTCCATGAATAGGTTGAAGATCTTAATATGGAGAACGTCAGACTGCTTCTGCAAATCGATAATGCCAGACTAGCAGCGGATGACTACAACCATAAGTAAGTTGTTTTGCTTCCAGTCTTGTTGGGGGCTGCAGTATAAAAGCCTCCCTGCAGGGATACTGATTTAGACTAGCTTGAGCATGTAATTATAAGACATCACAAGGAAGTCTGGGACAGAATGGGAAAGAATTCCTATTCTGTATGTGGGAAAAGGATTTTGAATAAAAGGCAGTGTCTTTTTGATGCTGTTCTTTTCTCATGGGTTCATACTGAAACACACTCGCTTACACTAACTCGTAACTCATTAACTTGTCAGTGTTAACTGGCTATCACACTTCTTGGGGAATATTCCTTTCTGAGGTCAGGTGCTCCCAAGTTTTCTCATCCCCTGAAATTCTGCACTGAATTTAATACTTGACATAGAATTAGGATTCTTGAGGTTATTGGCCTCCTTCCTTCCTTCCTTCCTTCCTTCCTTCCTTCCTTCCTTCCTTCCTTCCATCCATCCATCCATCCATCCATCCATCCCTGCTTCTAGTCCTTATGTTTACATTTTCTGTAAAAAACAGCTTTGATAGGAGGTAAACTAGGGCGGCCCTTCTGCTGGCAATCAAATACATCTTTTATTCAGACAAAGCTCTGAAATTTAAGCTGCGTTTGCCACTGAAGGGTTTTTTTGCAGGGAGTATTGAATGTTATTGCTTTTTATTTATATTGTCTGTGTTTTTGTGTCAATTGTATTTCTTTGAAGGTTTCTACTGTTAGTCTGTCTGAGTGACTTTTTGGGGAGAAAGTGGGATATAATTTAAATAATAATTATAATGATGAATGAAGGCAGAATCTTTGTGCCAAGCATGCCTGTTTGTCTGTTTCTCATGGCCCTTCCCGCACACCCTTTTACTCTAACACCCTTGCTGCACTTCACTTACTCATATCAAATTCAGATATGATGGGTTTATGGGGAAAGCAAGTACATTTCCTTTGGTACAACACTGAGCAGCACTGATATGAGGCTGAAACACACGAGCTCTCATGCTCTTTAACAGGGCCATGTGGCAGCAAAGGATGATGGGCATAGGATTTTTTGCTCCAATCTCAGAAACTTGCTGTGAGGTTAAGGTAGGGACCCTGAGCCCCAGATTACCTCACCCCGCTCTTGCAGCTGGTGCTGAAACGATCCCGGGGGTTGTCGCTCCAAGACTGCAAGAGTAGCCCCAGAGACAGGCTTTTGGAGGCAGGGCGGTGTGTGTGTGGGTGTGGGGGGGGGGCAGCCTCCAGCTGCATGCAGCATTTCCGAGGGGTCCCTTGCATCCTTTCCCACCCACTCTCAGCCGAACGCTTAGATGGCCGGAACCAGCCCTGTGCTTTGCAAGATGCAAAGTGGCCTTTGCCTCTACCAGCCTCCCATCCTGCATAGGATGCTTCTAATTCTCCAAGTTTAACAGGTTATGGGAAACCTCATGGGATTGTTCCCTAAACAGATGTTAGTTGAAACTTCTGTAGTAAAATGAATTTCAGGAGCAAGGACAAATATAGCCAAACTGGAAGCACTTCCTGTATTTCTAACATCTGGACTTTGAAATAGAGATGATTCAACAAATGGGAGACTTGATGTTGCCACAAAATTAAACAATTTATTCAGCATCCTGAAAAGTTGCCATTTCATTAGCCAAAATGTTTGATAGACGTCGAGTTCTGGCATAGAAAACGCTCAGTTTATGGTCTGGCTTGTGAGTATACAGCATTAAAAACACATGTGCAGCAAGAGGAACAGAATGCTTTGACCTTTGTGAATCACGTAGATTTGCATTTCCTTTTCAGATATGCACTAACCACTCGTAACTGGGTAGCTTAACCTATGCCTAGTGTTAAGGGCTGCCTGTTACAACTAGAACCTTCTGAAAGCTGACCTGGGATGGGGGAAAGAGAGAGAAGGGAGGAGAAAGGAGGGGTATTGCTTTGACCTACCGCTTCTTTGGTTCTGGCCAGGTCCACCACTGGCCAGAGGCTCCTGGAGGGTTACTCACGTAGGGATGAGGTCCAATTTACCATTAGGCTTTGAGGGATTATGGGGCTGCCTGCTGTTTTCCTATTGGGTGGGTGTCAGTTTTAGGATTATTATGGCCGGTTTAATCGGGATCATTTAGGTTGCTTCTTCTTGTCCTTTGAGTGGGCATATTTAACACATGCTCTTTATCATGCAAGCTGCTTTGAGTTCTTGAGCTTAATATTGGGGTAGGAAACTGATGATGAAGAAATACACATATATTTGATCTACAGGGCTTCGTGAAGCCATGAAACTATAAAAAGCACAAAGCAAAACTTGGGACAGTAAAAAAAGATCCAGCAGCCACTTCGACATGTTTGAAAGGGAAGTGCGGCTTCATTCATGTGCCTTTTATACTTCATGAGCTTCTTCTCAGCCCTTTAATGGAGGCACGTGCACCTGAGCACAAAAAGAGAAGTGAGGATCAACTGTGTCCCTTCAGTGATCACTGCCAAGTGCACATGTTTAATCCCCGCATCTTGTTCTTTCCTTTCTGCTTTTCCTCCCTTTTACCAGGCTGGAAGTAGAGCAGGCTGCATGTGACGGCGTGCAAAAGGACACCCATGGCTTGCGCAAAATGATCGATGACACCAACTTTCTCCGTATGAAGTTGGAGGGGGATCTGGAGTCCTTCAGAGAGGAGCTGGCTCACTTACGCAAAAGCCACAAGGAGGTAAAGGCACCCAGGTGGAAAACAATCCGTGGGAATGTCCGTTGGCACATTCTTCTCATATTATACGGAAGCATTGTTCAAGCTTGTTCACCTGTTTTCTGCCGTAGGCTGTCGTATCCTGTTAACTCTTGATTGGAGACATCAAGGCCCTGTTTTCCCTTTCTATGGCTGATCATCTTTAAACTGGGCTCAGACTGGACAGCCCTTCCAATGAAGGATGCCTACAATAGAGGGCTGCCCTTTGATGGCTCCCTTCAAGTACAGGACTGCCCTTGTACATGAGGACACATGAATATCCTAACCTCAGTTGTAGGTCTGCCCCCTCATTCCCTCCTGGTAGCAACTTACAGCGCAGTCCTATGTCCATTTAGAAGTAAGTTCCATGGAGTTCAAAGGCACTTACGCTTACATTAGAGTGCATACTAGTCTTCCACAACATGGTGCCCTCCAGAAAGGTTGGACTACAACTCCCATCACCCCAGCCACCAAGGTATTGGCTTTGTTGGCTGGGGAAGATGTGAGCCATAATCCAACCATTCTGAAGGGCACCATGTTGCGGGGGTGGTGCTAGACCGGCCCGAAGCCTCGATTTCGTTGCTGCCCTGAACATGTCCTGCTCACAGGCTCTGGAATCATTGAGGGACAGGAGACACAGAATACACACAGTCCCCTGAGTACTCATTGCATGGCAGTTCCACGCTGATCTTTTTCTGGTGCTGGAGGGTTTTTCTTAGTAGAGTGCCTCCTTTCATTTCCCCTTTTAACTCCCACGAGAGTGTCTGAAAAAGCTTCATTTCTAAAGTGAGAACAGTCATCTGTGGAAAGCTGTGAACAGGGCAAGAAAGACCGCTGCACTGCATGGTTACTGCAGGACCGAAGTGTGGGCTTCCTCTGTTGAAACCCTCCTGTGATGATCAGGGTCATGGCGAGGCCAAGACACTGGGCCCTTTTGCCCTCTCTCAGCTCACTGATTTCTGTCTGCACAAAACAAGGTGGTGCTGTGCGCCTACACTAGAGCTTCTCTCCGAGTCATCTTTATCTAGCACACCAACACAACATGGCACTTTCACAAAATAAAAGAGGGTGGCTTCCCTGCCCCGAGGTGCTTACAATCTGACATTTGAAAACACATGACCCATGGAAGAACATGCGTTGTATTCTGTTACCTACATACCTGTACGTGAATATGCATTGCATTTGGTTAGTGTGCCTATGGGGATGAAGAGACTATGTCAAGGGCTGTGCGGGGAGCCATTTTAACCTCCACAAGGGGGCATGTTAACCCCTTCCAGCCCAAGGGCCACATCCACTTTCAGGGAAACTTTTGGTGGCCATGCTCCATTGGTGGCTGGGGCCAAGGGCAAAAGGAGCAGGCCCCCACACATTTGCATGCTTTCAGAGATCTGACTGCTGTTACCTAAACCTTAGACAAGGAATTTCAATCTTTTAGAATGGGAAAAAGGTTCCGCCAAAGCCAGGAAGCCACCAAAACTCCAGTGGCTGAGGGAGGGCAGGGCAGGGCACGGCAGGACCTGGGGGAAGGGGGTGTGGCCATATGATGAACTCTTGCTGGCCAGATCTGGATCTTAGATGGGCTGGATTTGGCCTTCAGGCATGAGCTCAACACCTTTGCTCAGCAATACAACAGGAAGTCTCTTCTTCTTGACTGCCTGCAGGAAGTGGAGGCACTCAGTGCTTTGGTGGCCAACTCTGATGTAACGGTGCAGGTGGATAATCCACAGAAGAATGACCTGAGTGAGATGATTGCTGAGATCCGGAATCAGTATGAGAAAGTGGCTGAGCAGAACCGTACTGATGCTGAGAACTGGTACAAAACCAAGGTGAGGAAAGTGGGGAACCAAGCAGGGTGGGGTATGGAGACAGCATAGATCCCCCCCACTCCATCTTTCTCCCCCGTGCTCTTGTTGCTCTTCCTTGCAGTTTGACTCCATGTCCCAGGAAGCTGCTGTAAACACGCAAGCCCTGGAAGAAGCCAAGAATGAATTGACTGAGCTTCGCCGGCAGATGCAAGGCCTGGAGATCGAGCGGCAGACTCTCCAGAAAATGGCAAGGGAGTCACTCTTCCTCCCTCACAACTCCTAGAATAGCCTGTGGTTGCCTTTTGTTGGCAGCTTAGTCGAGAGGGCAGAGCTTGTCCTCCTGGAATATTAACAGCTCAGGGAGAATTAGGACATACAACCGGTGGCCTACCTTCCACATTCCTGAGAAATCTTGGGAGCCTTGCAGTCTATGGGATCTAGAAAGAGCAAATGAAGGACTGATAGGGCCAGCAGTTGATGGGGTCCAGAGAGCTGCAATGGGAAGGTGTTGGAGGACAGAACAGGGACTGACTAGGTTCAGATGACATGGTAGTCCACTCTCAGTGGGTTACAGTGTTGTCTGGTCCAGCTATGCCAGCAAGTCATGACCTGTTTAGCATGAACAATCCATGAAGAGAGCTCGTGGTTTGTTGTTAGGTTGTGAAGGATGGGTTGTTCGCCATGGTTTGCTATCTTGGCTAGTTTCAGACATGATGTTCAATCATGTTCAATGTCAAGCCATGCAAAGACACAGTTCAACCCATACTCAGCCCTCGAGTGTGGGTTATTGACTAGTGTTGTTTGAACTCAGTCAGAGTCTAAGCTAGCCTGCTACCCTCAGGTGTGATGGACATGCTGACCCATGTCCCTTGAAGCCAGGTTCTACTGCAAATATGGAGGATTATGGACATTTGATGAATGGGAAGAGGAGGACAGAGGCTAGGTTTGCCTCTGTGGTTTGCTCACCCTCCAATACATGTAAACAGCTAATTTCAACTGACTGAATATTTTTCTCCTTCTGAGGCTGGCTGAGGCACCACCAGGAATCATCAGTGGATGGTGGAACTTTGCTCATCCCCATTCCACCCCCCAAGTGCCTTCCTTTGTGCCAGGCCTAAAAATGGTCTTCAGTTTTTGCATCTCAGTGGGCACAAAGAACTGTGCCAGCTGTGGGAAGCAGAGGAATCTTTCTGAGACCAGTCCTAGCTCTAGGTCAAGACTGGGTCAAAAGCTGGGACTCCGATCTATCTAGGTGCCCCCAGGGCAAAGATAGGAGTCCATAGGATGGTGCCTTGGGTTCTGAATGTGGGGGGACACAAAGATGTCAGGGGGATCCACAGTGAAATCAAATGAATTCGATTTCTTTGAATTTCACCTGTAGATTCCTCAGCAGACAGGCTTTTTCCAAGTTGCCCAGTTTTGTGGACATTTTTGTTTGTTTTACTTTTGGGAGGATGTACACAATGGAGTGAAATTCTCACATTCTGCCCAGAACTATTTGATTCTGTCAGTGAGAAGATGACAGGATGAAAGAAGCCCGAGAATCCATGTGACACAGGTGCAAAGGGTCCGGGCGGGGAGGTCCTGTCCAAAAGGAGAACATATTTTAGCTTCATTTAGCTAAGGGAAGTAATCGTAGAGGGAGAGCATTTGTGTTGCTTTGGGGCCTGGCCAATACTGAATGCTTTGTTTTCGCTTAATGCTGTAGAAAAATGAATCAAGCTCCCTTCGCTGTACCTCTCCAGAGACAAAAGCCCTTTTACACCATACATGCCTCCCTGTCCCTCCCTCCACCACACAAGAAGAGCATCACTCTTGTAATGCAGGGGGTGTCGGGTGTTGTTCACTCCCCAAACACAAGCCATTCTGTGCTACAGGTAGAAACCTTGGAGAACACCTTGAAGAACACTGGTGACCACTATCGCAACGACATGGCTAATCTCAACCATGTCATTGCCAAGCTGCAAGATGACCTGGCAGCTTGCCGGGCTGACCTGGAGAGGCAGGCCCGAGACTACGAGACCCTTCTGGACATCAAGAGCAAGCTTGAGAATGAGATTGAGCACTATCGCAACTTGATTGAGGGAGCAACAGTCAGGTAGCCGGGGCTGGGCCTTCCATTTTTATGTTCACAGGCACAATTCTATTTTGAAGGGTTGCCCAATACATTTATGCTCAAGAAGCTGTAACTAGCCTGATGAGCATTTGCCTGTTTCCAAATGTGTTTGTCTCATTCATGTTTGATGTAGAGTTATTGTCTCCAAAAACTTCCAACTGCTAGTTGGTTAGCCATTCTTGTCTGTCATTCACTGAGCCAAAATTCTTAAGGCATGGATGTATGCATCTATACAATAGAGTTCTCCAGCGATGCATGTATCTGGAAATACTTCTTTCTGAGTAACAAAAATGTGCAGGATGTGGCCTTATCTGGACTATCCAATCTTGGTTTAAGAAACCAGGATTTGTGCAGGATTCAAGCATATTGCCTCTTTGCTCCTGTTTCTATCGTCCCTTCATGTGAGTGGGAAAACAAACCAGGAAGCCTGTTAGCCATGGCTTCTTGTTATATCTGAACTGAAAAACTCTGGTTCATGGATTTGAAGCCATGGTTTAAAGTTGCTTGCATTTTTAGGAGAAAGCAAGGCGGGGGGGGGGGGAATCCATTGGGTGCTTATTGTCCCTGTTGCAGTAGGATGGGAAAACCTGCCTTCTAGTGAAGTTTTCCTTTTGAAACCGTCACAGAAATAGCAGAGACCTTGGGGGACCTGGGCTTGGCAGCCCTGTTTTCTCAGTTCAGGATTGATAAAAGGCTGCGGCAGACCATTCATGTTTCTTGACGCCACACACTTCCGGGGTATTAACTTGCCCAAGCATAGATAAGGCAGCTGGTGAGTGTAATGGGCAGAAGCTGGTCCAGCAGGAATAGATGGATGCAAATGTGGAGCAGGAAGCACACCTGGCATGCAAATTGCCCTCAGGCTGAGCACACAAACACCTGCCATGTTTTGTATTTTCAGAGGGGAGTTGCAGAGCTCAGGGAAAACAGGTAAGTATGATGTAGTAGTAGAGAGACAAGAGTGTAGAGCTACCTGCTTCTGCATCTGCCTGCAAACTGCTTGCCTACCTGATCTCCCATCCCACAGTTCAAGCAGACTTTCCCAGGGTTTGTGCTTTTCAAAAACAGACTTCATCTGGAAGCACCCAAAATCATTGCACGGAGTTGCTGTTAAAATCCACAGGAATGCCAAGCACATACTGTCCCATGGAAGGTGGCAGAACCAGGGGTCTGTCCTCAGCAAGTCAGTGTTGTGCATCACTGGGTGATGGCACAGCCATTACACTTTAATAAAACAGATTCATGCACAAGGTAGGAGCCTAGCCCTTTCTCACTGACAAACAGCACTTGCAACCTCAAGAGGAGACTGCACAGGTACCCTTAGGATAGATGATGGCTCTAGAATTGTTAGATGCTTTTTAAAAAGTTTGAGACCACTGCATCACATTTCTCTTACCTTTAAAGGCAGTGTACGCAGGATTTGCAGGTTGCCACTCACGCATGCCCTGACCCATTGTAGACCTGCTTGGTTTTATCAGAAGTAGCTGCATTCCTTAAGACACTCCCTATATGGAGTCTTACACTTAGACCCTATCATTTGGTACACTTAGATCCCAGATCTGTGCTGTCCACACAATTTACTAATCCTTTAATCCTGTACTGTGATTCTCCTAGCTGCTCCATATGTCCATTCCAGTCACTTAATATGTGCACACTGACGGAACATATTTCCCCTAGTTGTGATTTGTTTAAAAACAGAATCCTCTTTATTCTGTGCAGCTGCTATAATTGTGAGCTGAAGGTAAAAATTAATGCAGGAGAAAAGGGACTTCGTGACCGTTTTCCCCCACTGTAGCACTTTCTACAGAAAATCTCCTGTCAACAGCTGCTTGTGACCTCAATGAGAAAATACGGCCATTTGCCTCTTCTCCAGGAGAAAGAAAGCTGGGGAGGAATTGTATGCAGGAACATAGTACAGCAAGGCAAGGGTGTTATTCCATGAACAGGCATAATGCACACCTGAAACTTTCTATACATAATGGGAAAAAGGTTCTTTTTCTGAATTCTGAAGTGTGTAGTTCCATCTTGTGCCACTGCTGGTTAGTGAGGGAGTTGCTTATTTTGGGGCCATTTGCAAACTGCATGCATTTTTGTTTCAACTCTGCTGAAATGTTGGAAGTCAACTGCTTCCTGCTGTTGCTTTCTCAGACATCTGATATTGCCGCTCTAGTCCAGCCTTGGTTTTGCTCTCTAACCAGTTAATTCACCTCTGTCTTGTAGATACCAGAAGACAGACAATTAAGAAGGTGGTGGTCACCACACAGGAAATTGTGGATGGGAAAGTGGTGGCACAGAGATCCGAAGAAGTGATTCACTAGGCTCTTCCTGTGTGCGATGTGTATTTTGCTTATCCCTTTGTCAACAATATCTTCTATTGATCAATAAAACAGTATCTGGCAACTCCAAACATCCTGTCTTGAAATTTGCCTACACAGCTTAGGCAGGATCCATATTAAAAAGGCATCTGTGAAACCAAAAATCGAAGTTTGCATAAAATATGTATCTATACAGCACTACAATGATCAGATGCTGCCAAAACTTTTTCCCATCTACTTAAGACTGAGGCCTTAGCTCCATATAGCACTAATGGAGTAGAGGGAAATGCAGCTTTAATAACTCCCACAGAAGAGGTAAAAAAGAGGCAAGGCACTCAATGTTCTTCCAAGATAGTTGTTTCCCCACTATATTGGGCATACCTGGAGAAAAGTCTGCATCATCAAGTATTCAGCAGTACAGTCAGTTTTCTTCTCTAATTCCCATACTTCACCCTAATTGATTTAACTGCTGGAATGTGACCTGCCATATGGCTGGGCAACATGCATGCAGCACAGGCTTTCCACACATTCTCACAACCATCACTCTTTGTAAAACTGTATGAGCAGAGTTCTCCAGCCAGCCCTACTACTTGGGTAATCCTGTTAAAGATGTCTCCCACCTCCAAGGACCAAGCTAGGTATTCTAGACAAATGCATGATCGGCTCCACATTTGCCCAAACAGGAAGAGCAGGAAGGAAACCTCATAAGTTGTCCAAACAAACAAACAAACAAACAAACAAACAAACAAACAAACAAACAAACATACCCCTTTGATATAATAAGAAGAGGATAAATGAAGGCAATTGTATTTGTAGATGTACCTGGCTATTTCCTCTTTTTTCACAGTAACAGATTAACTTTTCCAAATTCATGTTTCTTTTTCTGTGACCAAATCCTGTCAAACTTCAACCTGATATCAGAAGATACTTCTGAAAAAACTGAGCAGAAGTAACTGGACAGTGTGTGCGTTTTCTCCACATGCCTTTCTGATTTAGTGTGGGCATAAATTAATATACCTACAAAGGAATACCCATAAATCATGAATGGTAAGATAGAAAGATCTCCTTTATTAATGAACTCCAACAATATTTCTTCAGATACAGGAGTCGTGAACTCAAAAAACTCAAGAAAAACAAGTTAATATTGCATTATTCTCATAAGAAATACTGCAACTCATTACCGGTAAACATATTGCAAAGCAAAACAGCTTGAAAAGGTGAAGGGGGAAGGAAAGAAAGTAAAGTTGATCAAAATGGAATTAAGGTTTGTTTTTTGTTTGAACTATTAAGTCCTTGCAAGCACAGCTCGATTCCGCAGATCACTTCCCAAACTTGTGTAGAAAATATAACCCTACTGGATTTATTTTCTTAAGAGCCCAGAGAGGTGCAATGTTAAAAAGCTACGATTATCAGGTAGCAAGTGCTCCAGCCTTCTGCCACAGATTTCCAGCTCCACCTTGCTCCAGGCGTTAACGGGATGCAAATGTCTTCCCCCTGGCAGGAATTTCGGAGGCATCATTAGTGCAGTACTGCTACACCGTAGTCACATGTTAACCACCTACAACCACCTGACTTCTGAATCTTACCTTACTGCCCTTTCAGCAGAGTGGCCCATCACTTCCTTACTCTAGACCAGCCTTCCCCAACCTGGTGGCCTTCAGAGGCATTTGGATCACAACTCCCACAATTCCCATCCAGCCATTGACTGGGAATTTTGGCGGTTGCAGTGCAAACATGTCTGGAAAGCACAAGGTTGACGGCTGCTCCAGACCACTGAACCTCAATACTTCTAACTGAAGTAAGATAGTGAATTGTTTTGAGGATTAATTCAACATAATTGCATTTTTCCTCAGATATCCAGGAAGTCCCCTTTCTCCCAAAATACTACTTGGCAATTTTCACAACTTTAGAAAAGACAAGAGACACGAATATATCAGACCACAGAGGCTAGAAGCAGCTTCTCATTCTATTTCTGTGCATTCAGAAACAAAAGATGATACCAGACTACAAGACACATGCATGTTGTATTAAATAGAAAGTATATGCTGTTATCCAGAAGTTCCACCAAGATGGCTTTTTCATGTGTTGTGTGTTTGGGTACTCCTTTTTCTAGTCACCACCATGTAATAAGACTTTCAGAAACGTGGCCTTGGTGGTGCCAGATCACGCAACTTTGCTGAAGTCAGGAGTCTCTGCAAAGTGCCTAAAGCGACACTATCATGGTCTTTGTTCTAGCTGCATTGTGACAACCACCTGGTATGTCTTAGCCACGTGCTTCCAAAATCCCACTTGGTGTTTCCTTAGCTTGCAGCCCATTCCTTGAGACTGTTCCTAGCACTCCCTCTCCCAATCTGGTGCTGAACTCCTATTTCCAGAGCTGGAATGTCTCTTTCCCCCTGCCCTGTGGTACCAGAAAGATGTGTTGCCTTGTATGCCCAGATAAAGCTTCACCATGTATGAGGCCTCCCAATACTGCTTTCCGCCTGCATCTCCTTCACCACCCACCAATTAAGAACCCAGCTGCCTTTCAGAAGGGGTATGGGAAAGGGAACTTATGCAGCCACATTCATAGAGCTGTAGTTACCTGAGCTTTCCCTTCTTGGTTCTATGGGGCGGCAGCACCTCAGTATGGGCTAGCATAACTGTCAAGGCTGTAAACATTAAACTGAGTTGTCTGCGTTTAGTGGACAAGCTAAAGATCTGAGGGCAGCACTGAGATACATCAAGTTCTTGAAATAAGCCCCACATTTAGCTGGCTTCCACTCCTTGTCTCTTTTTCCCTAAGTTCCCTATCCTATCTGGTATTTTCCTCAGATTAGTCTGGGTTTATGGAGACCCCCTTGACCTATGGTCCTCCATCCTAATTCTGCATTTAAACTGTAATCCATACCCTTGCTGGGGCTCTGTAATGACGACTTATTTTGACATTTAGTGTCCCTATCACTGCTTTTATTAGCCAAGCCTAACAGGGACTGAAGGCCACAATGTGTGAGGCCTGAGGTGGTTAGCCCAAAATATGTGAATATGTGCACCAAGTCTGATATAAAGGTGGCCAACCTATACCCACAGAGGGTTTCCAAGTGATTGTGTCTGACCAAGGTATTGTTCCCCCTTCCTCTAAACACGATCCCTTTACCTACCCTTTACTTCCTCTTTCCCAATCTTGTGCAGAATCTGTATTCTGCCCCTCATGTGACCTACTCTTTGCCATTGAAGCTTGAGGCTCTTCTTGTTGCGCTTAGTCTCTCCAAGTGGTGCTTTACCCTTTTTCATATGTTGAGACACCGTAACTTCCTGCTTCTCTCTTCTTCCTCTATCATTGTAATTAGGAACAGCCTGCCCAAGCAGCATGGGTGGACTGGTTCAGTCATTCTTCTTCTTTGTACAAACATTTGTGGTAATGCAAGCTTGCAATGGACTCTTTTGTTGAGTAAATTTCCCCAGTTTGGTCTAGAAGAGAACAAAGTGTACAGGGTGTACACAGTGCTCCTGGAGAAAACTGCCACATTTCCAGGTCCTTTGGATGGATGGATGGATGGATGGATATATATCTATATATAGGCAAATTCATATGTGCATGTGGAATTAGGAGATTCAGTCATACAAATACCACCTTCACTAATTTTCTGTGAAGCAGCAACCAGGAAACAAATCAGCTTCCTATTTCAATATACTTTAAAGGGGGAAGTGCAGATTTTTATGTATACTCATGCAAATACACTTCCTCACAACTGATGTGGTACCCAGTATTGTTTGTATTTTGGTACTTTGATCTAAATAGAGAACACAGTGCAAACAACCACCAAAAAGGGCACCATTCTCAGACTGGAGGGAAGGTAAAGGCGTATTCAAGGCTGCAGTCAGGGCACTTAAAACCAGAGTAAGGTTAGACTTGGAAATGCCACCTGATTATAATGAAGAGTCTAGAACTTCTCCTAAAAATGCAGCAAACCCAGGAAAGTCAAAGGACCTTCCTGAAAGGCAAGAGTTTGTATTACACCACAAGGCATTTCCCACAGCTGTTTAAATTTACCACTAGTTTTTAAGTTCAACCTGGCCCCCACCAAAAAAACCCAACCCTTCAGTGCTGTGGCCAGCTATGAGGCTCCAGAAGCTAGAAGAACAGGGAAGATAAAAAGATAGATCTATTTTTATAGGTTAAACAAAGAACAATGAAAAAAGATTTAATAGCTGTAAGAAACTCCATTTGTTCTTAACCAAGAGGACACAACACCCAATCACCTCAAGCAAGATAGCTATCCTTGCTCATTTGAGGATACATATGTTCATACAATAGGCAAAGGCTGCCTAATGCAGAAGTTGGGCTACTAAGAACTGAACCAAATGCCCCTTTAAGAAGGTGTTATATGTGCTGAATCCTTTGCAAGACAGAGTCAGCCTTTAACACATCTAAGAACAAACTGCAGGTCTTCCATAGCTGTGTCCTCCTCTTGCCTTTGGGATTCACAGCAGGGTCCTGTTTGGCTTAATCCAATGCTGCCCTGCCTCCCAAAATCTGGAGATTTTTGTTCAGCTTGTATTTTAGCAGCTCTGCCTGGCTCCCAGGTCATACAGTCTCTCACAATATCAAGATCACTAGGACAACTGGCTCAGATATTAGCAATATGCCCTTGCCAGAGAGTGGCTATCTTCCTAGAGAGGTTGATAGTGCCCTAATCTGTAGCCCACTAGACTCTCCTTTATTTCCACATAAGGCCCTAAGCCAGCCTGCCTGCCTGCCTGCCTGCGAGGGCTGAAAGACCTGCCAAGTGATCTATCTCCTCACTAGTACTATCCAGTCTCCCCAGTGCAGCCTCAATTAAACTGCTTGCCTCTCTGCATGACACTTAACTGGCAAAAGGAACCACCATGCTGGCGGTTCTGTGCATCCACAGAAACCAAGAATAAAAGGGACAGATGGATAAGAGAAAAGGAACACGAGAGATGCAGCGTTCAGCCTATGCTTGTGTTCCTAGCTCAGTGATGTCATGGCTAACCACCCAGCAAACTTACTACTGAGGACTGCAATCCCTTTGACAAGTTCCAGGTGAATGATCCAGAGCATGCTTATAAAACATTCTTCATCCTTGTCCTCTATAGAAGTGGTTTTCAACTGCCGGTCTGCTTGGTGGGAGCCATGCTGGATCTACCTTCTCGGCAGAGACCTGAGGACCAGACTTTTTTCTGCTGAGTTGTGGTGGGGTAAGTGTTGGTCTGGGGTTGTATTGGCTGTGTTTTCCTGGCCAACCTGTGCTGGTGTGTGGGAGGGTTTGAGTGGGTGGGGTTAGTTGTATTTCATTATTAAAGCAAGTTATTTCTTGTGCCAATGTAGTGCTTCATCTCTTGGAGGCAACACTACAGCCACAATTTTCAAGTATTCTTCTGGGCAGGCGGCAGTGGATTTTGCATTGGCCTTGTCTGAATTGAATGCTGCTTTCCATAAGTTTCAGTTGTATTTGATTACATTTAATTTTGGTATTTTGTTCTTTTGTTGGCATTCTTTGTTGTTTGGTTTCCAGTTGTTTTGAAGAATTTTCATTTTTTTGGTACTGAGCTTGGAAACTAATACACAGAATACTGTACTAGGTGTATGATGCCTTCTGTTCCTGCCTCAGTGGTTCCCGAGGTGGTTTTCCTGTTTTTGCTGGTCCCCAGCTGTAGAAAGGCTGAAAACCACTGCT